AGGCCACCCTGGGGAACTGGATGTTCTATTGACAAAGCAAAAGGAACAAAAATCTCATTGCAAACAGACGCTGTTTACCTAGGGTCTTAGAAAACACTGGTGGCGGCTGGCAGCCACAGTTGGCACAGAGCACCATTCCCTGTCTGGTGGGGAGGAAAGTCTGGTGCTCACACGTACATGCTCACACATGCACAACTCCCCTCCTCCCCTCCCCTGTGGGCACGTGCTTATTACTATGCACCTACATGTACACTTACACACCCACACTGACTGGGGGACCCACGCTCACCCTCACAGACCTTGCTCCTCTCTCTGCGTATTCTTGCTCACATGCATACTCACAATTGGAATCAGAATTCTAGAGGTGGAAGCAGCTTCAGAGGTCACCTGGATACCCATTCTCATTTTGTAGGGGAGGAAGAGGGGTTCAGAGAGGGTATGTCACCTGCCCAGAGTCACACAGGATGTTAGAGGTTCAGAGGAATTAGATCCAAGATTCTGTTTCCTCAGAGAGTCCTCACAAGTTGGTACCAAGGTATCACTCTCACAGCCATGGACACACACACACACACACACACACACACACACACACACACACATGTGGGAATGCACCCACATGGAGGTGAGACTTATGCCAGGGAGACCTCCCTCCCACACACTGGCTACTGTGGGGGTTGCCCTGCCCCTTCCCTCACCCCTTCCAGAGCCCAGCGGATGTGGATAAGCCATCCTCTTGCCTTCCCAAATTGTGGCTGACGGTTGCCTCAGCAACCGCCTACCAGATTGGGGAGATTAGCTGAGGAATGTGGCTGGGCCAGTTCGAGCTGAGGCTGGGGGAATTTGTGGGGGTCCTGGGTTGATTCAGTCGACTCCCTCAGGGAGGCCTCAGCAGAGATGGGGTATCCAGGGAAGCGCCTGGTTTCCTTCTGTCCCCAGCCCAGCTGAGACTGTCCCCAGAGCTTGGACTAAGCTAGGGGAAGGCAGAGGGTGTGTGGGCAGTTGAGTGTGGTGCTGTGTGTGTGTGTGTGTGTGTGTGTGTGTGTGTGTGTGTGTGTGTGGCATCTCTCTGGCTGAGATTGGAGTATATGTTGTTTGCGTCCAGGATGGGGTCTGGAGGCCCCTTTCCTCAGCAGTTCCTGACATAACTCTGGACCACTGGACGGCTTGTCCCACCAGGCACCCTCATCTCCTGAAGTGCCCTCTGGGGAACCGCCTGCCCTTCTCGTGGCATCTAGGATGAATCACTGTTCTCATCTGAATCCAGCCACAGCCCTGCTCAAACACTTACTGTGGCTTCCCAATTCCAAATGAGGCTGAACGTCTCACCCTGGCACGTAAGGCCCTCCCTCTCTCATCTGGCCTCAGCCTTCCATCCAGGTTTCTCTCCCGTTGCTTTGGCCAAGCTGGGCTCCTCTCTGTGCCCTGGACAAACTGTGTTTACCCGCTGCCTTCTTTTGCCTCTGTTGGGCCCTTTGCCTTAAATGCCCTTCTACGCATCTGTACTGGCCACAATGACACCCATCCTTCCAGGCTCTGCTCAGATGCACCCACCTCCAGGAAGTCTTCCCCTGGCCCACTTTCCTTCCTTAGACTGCCCTTGCGGTCTTGACCCTTTTCTACTTTGTTCATTTCCTCACCCCCACTCTGACTGGGAGATCCCTGAGGCCAGGGCAGAGTCTTAACCATCCTTGTGTCTCTAACGGTGCCACCCTGGAACCTGCTTTGTGCACAAATTTCCTGAGGATGGAATTGAGTTAACACATGTGGCCAGTGGAATACCACAGCCTTATTTTGTTTGTGTCTAGTTGCCTTGAATAAAGATGAATAAAGATAGGTGGCTTAAATCCTGACTTCTGGAACTTAAGATGTACCCTTGGGCAAGCAAGCCACTTCATCTCTCTGTGCCTCAGTTCCCATCTGTAAGATAGTAATAGTACCTACTTATGAGTTACTATGAGGGTCATGGAGGTAAGTGGCAACCTTCTCCTTGTGGTGTTGATGTGTGTGTGAATGTCTGTACCAATGTCTGTGTGGATGGAGTCGAGTGGGATTCCCTGCTACCATTCTTGTTCTGAACCCGAAGTCTGATGTAGTTCTTCCTCCCGCCCCACCCTGGGTTGGTGGCTTCCAGCAGGAGTTGAATCTCTAGCTGGAGCTGGGACTTGGCTCTGGGGCGCCTGGCTCCTGAGCCATCCAGACTGGAGGTGATGGTTTTTTTCCCAGGGCTGATTGTTCCCATCCCAGTGTGGCTGGGGAGGACGTGGGGATGGGGCTCTCCCCTAGGAGCCTGGCTCCAGAGATGTTACCCTCTAAGGGCTTGGCTAGAATAGGGTCTGGCCCAGAGACACAGGGCTGGATGGAAATGGACCAGGGAGAGGGAGTCATTCTGCTTAAGGCTATACTCTGGACAGAGAAGGTCACCCTGGCTGAGGTCAGTAGTAGAAGTCATGCTGATGGAGGTCATGGGTCACTCTGGCCAGGGTCAGTTGGTCTGGGGTCATCAGTCAGTCTGAAGGTCATTGTGGTGAAAGTCAGGTGTTCTGGATGATATTGGGGTCACTATGGCCAGGGACAACCAGCAGGAAGCCACTTTGGTTGAGGTCAGTCTGTCTGGGGATCACTGACTTGGGTTGGTCAGTCTGGGATTTACCTGGCTGAGGTCATAGGTTCCTCTGACTAGGTCAGTCTATCTGGGAGTATTGAAGGCTCATGTGGCCTGGCTTAGGATGGAAGGGAGGAAGCCAAGGAGCTGGTATTCCCAGGCTTGCCTCAGGGACATGGGTGAGACATCTTGGGGCAGCTGCCTTGTTACTTGTGAAGGAACAGGAAGGGCCTGAGCCCCAGCCAGGGCTCCAGATACTGGGTTTCCCTTTCCGACAATCCCTCTGCCTCTGAGAGGCCTTGGCTAAAATCCTCAGGAGCAGACCCAGCTCAGGCTGAATGAAGTCAGCTGTTCCCTCCTCCAAGAAGCTCTCCCTGACTATCCTTGGTCATGTCCTCTCTCTATGCTGTGCTGTGAGGCATTTTCTAGAGGGAGAGCTGAGGCCTTCCCAGCACAGATGGGGTTAAAACCCACCTCCCACAGGCCACAGGGCATGATGCTGAAGCAGGCTTAACACACAAAGAGGCAAGGAGCTCAGTCAAGGCCCTGCCCCAGCTCTGGAGAAAGCCTTGTTATTTCATCCCATCCACTTGGTGCCAGCCTCTTGCCCACCACTCATCATTTTATACTTTGGTGGGGTCCAGGAAGAGGAACAGGAGCCACCCCCCCAACAATGGCGAGCCCCTTTGTGCCTGGCTCTGCTGGGTGTGTCTTCTTATGCTCCTTCCTGTGGTCTGCATCACAGCCTAGAGACGTCCCTGCAACAGATGAAGCAAAGAGCCTCTTATATGTGATATTGCAGGCTGTGTGTGCAAATGCCTACCACTGTGCCTGGCATGTGGCATTCACTCCTAAACACTGTCTGTTTCTTGTCCTTCTTTGTGAGCCTGGGAGGCAGCTCAGGTTTGCTTCTTCTCATAGTGAAGCTTTTCTGATAGGAAATATGGGCTTTGGCATCTGATGGACATAGGTTCAAATCCTGCTTCTGTTCTTATGCAGCTCAAGTGGCATATGGGGAAGGTTGCTAGTTCCTGAGTGTTTGCAGGTGCTGTTAGGCATTGTGTTAAATGGACCCCCACATTGAATTCTCAGCAACCCCATGTGTACGTGGAGAAACTGAGGCTCAGAAAGGAAAAGTGACTTGCTACATGGTCGCAAGGGTTGGCAAATTGCAGGTCAAGATTCAATCCTGAGACTGTCTGCTGCCACGCCCCCTTGCTTATCTACCACCTTATACTGTGGGTGAGTCCCTGTACCCCTCGGGGTCTCAGTCACCTCATCTGCCAGATGGGAAGAAGTACTGGGCTAGCAGGCACCCAGGGCAGGGCCTGGCATGGTGTGTACCTGCTTCTTTACCACTTGCCAGGGCATTTTCCCAGATCTCAGATGTCTTAGACTACCCTTGACAGGGTTGAGAGTGCAGGGGCCAGTTTGCAGTTCCTTTCTAAGGCAGCGGTGTTCTCAGGGTTTTTAGCTGCCCAACTCAGGGCTTTGACAAGCTCCCAAGATACATAGGCCTCATTCCCAACCGAAGGACTCACATCTATTTCTATTGGTCTCCCTCCTCTTCTCATTCAGCTGTAAATATTAGTCCTTAATTATGAGGATTTGCTTCCTCCAGTCATACCTGTGCTTGATCTGCCCATGACTGTGCTTTTACGTGTCACATTCCTGCAGGCAGAGACCCAAAGTGGGTGACCTTGGGCAATGACTGAATCCCCTCAGTTCATCTGCCAGGAATGTGCCTGCCTCAGAGGGTGAGGCCCAAATGAGAGTCTGCACCTAGAGGGTTCCGCACCGCACAGGGCTTGGCATAACCTGAGTGGATTGGTGGCTATCGTTATTTTTAAGGAGATACCATCAGGGCTTGCTTGGGGCCCTCATGGCTTGGCCAGTCCCCTTGTCTGTCCTCTATGTGAAGACAGGAGCAGGTACTGGGACACTGACTGGCAACCAGGAGGTCTTAGTTCAAACCCCACCTCTGTCACTAAGTAGCTGTGTGACCTTAAGGCAGTCTCTCAGCCTCTTTGGGCCTCGGTTTCCTCATCTGTACAATGGGGATAGTTCTGGTCCTGATTTCACGAGTGCTTGTGAGGCTCTAATGCTGTAGTCATAACTAGTTTTTATTAAGGAGGGTCTTGATGGGTGGTTGAGCAGTGGGGGTCCTGGGAAGTACTGGGGGAGTGGGTGGTGTGGGAGGTCTTGGTATTGAGGAGACAATGAAAGAGGGCCTTGGTAGATGGAAAGGGTAGAAAAGGGAGAGTTCTGGTGGAGGTGAGAGGAGTCCAGGGAGGGGCTGGGTAGCAAAGGACAGTGGGGGTGCCTGAAGGGTAGCCCCAGGAGCCCTCCCAGCAGCGGCTCTGCCCCAGCTTGGGCTAATCATATCCTGCCCTCACAGCTGGCTGCACCTTCGAGGAGGCGACTGACCCAGCAGTGCCCTGTGAGTACAGCCAGGCCCAGTATGATGACTTCCAGTGGGAACAAGTGCACATCCACCCTGGCACCCGGGCTCCTGCGGACCTGCCCCACGGTGAGCCTACTTTCAATCACTATTCCCCTTTCCCCTCCTTCCACTTCTACCCATCTGCTGTGTGACCTCCGGCACATTACTTAACCTCTGGGCCTCATCTGATTTTGCATATGTAAGGACATTCATGATACTGCGGATGTGGAGCTCTCTGGACAAAGGCCAATTGTGTATATCAGATAGTTTTGCTTGTAAAATGGGTGCAGACTTAAGTAATCAAAGACCCTTATAGCTGTAAATTAAAACTCACTCCCCATTATTCCCCCTTCAGCTTAGCTCAGTATCCACCCTACTCCCATCAGGCCTTCCTAAGTCCCCTAACTTCCAGGGAAGCTCTCTTCTCCCTGAGAGCCTCTGCATCCTGGTCTCCCAGGATCGGTGTGGACTGTCTCCATATCCCAGGAATGTGCTGGCAAAGAGGTAACATTGAGGGCTGGATGTGTGTAAAACCTTTCCTCCTCTGACCCCTTCCTCCTGGAAGTCCCAGATCCTTTCCAACTTCTTCCTTGCTCTGCCCTTATTTCAGGATTGGCATCACGAGTGCTGGACTCACAGTCAGGAAAGTAGTTACATGGAGTACTGGCCTTTTGCTCTAACAACGACCTCTAGTGTAGTCGTTCTAGAATCATGAAGATTGGGCTTTAAATCCTGGCTTCATCATTTTACCAGCCATGTGACTTTGGGCAAGTCACTTCTCTGAGCTTCCATTTTCTTAACTGTAAAATGGGGAATACAATAATCCATTTCATAGGGTTATTAGATACTATCTATTATCAGGAGTGGCATGTAGGGGTTCAATGAAGGTTTAGTTGCTATTACTGGAGGTAATGGGAGGTCCCATCACTAGCACCCCTCTTCACTGGGGCAGAAATAGCTGGGAATTAGGAAAAGAATATGAGAGGTGGAGGCCAAACTATCAACTTCATTACTGACAAAGGCTGGGATGGAAGACATAACAGTGTGAGAAACAAATGGGCTTGCTGAGGGAACTCCAGAATTGGACAGCCTAAGGACCCCCTCCCCTTTGACCTACCAGGGTAGTGGACCAGGGCCTTTGCTGCTCAGCTCCCAGCATGGCTGCACTTGCACCTGCTGTCAAGGGCCCACAAAAGTTCTCAGTGATGGGGTCAGGACTTGAAGCTAACAGGACAGAAGCCTTCCACAACTTGGCACAGACGGCCTCCGCAGGCTTGTCTACCCTCGCCTTACCTCTGGAGACCTCCCTGCCTCCCCCTGCTCTGCATTTGTGTACACTCTGCCCTCTCTGGGGCATTCCTCTCTGCCCTCACAGGGCTCTCAGCTACTTGTTTGAACTCAGTATTAGCGGGTATCAAAGTCTGACCTGTGTGACAATGGTCTGTCAAGGTGCCCACCATGGCAGGGACCCTGCGTGGGCTGTCTCCAGATCTCTGGAGCCCAGCCTGGTACACGGTTGGCACTCAGGTACAAAGTAGCTGATTTGATTCACCTCTTACAAATCTGACAAAAAGAAAGTGTTAGGCAAGCACAAAGTGTCAGATGGAAAGAGGGAGAGAGACACACACAGATGCTCACAGGGAGAGGAGAGAGGAGAGCAAAGGCATTGGTTGGGAGACTGTTGGGGGCTAGGTGTGTCCTTCCTGGGGTAGGGATGGGGTCCTGGCATTTTGTTTACTACCCCACCAGGGCTGATCCAGGAGCTGCCTCCACAGGCCTTTGGCTCACAGAGATGAATGAGATCCCCTGCACTGGAGTCCCTTGGGAGCCTTCCCAGAGCTGGGAGCCTCTGGTTGGGATCTGAATGAGCTGGTTGGCTGGCAGCCAAGCCCAGGAGGAGCCAGCGCTGGGTGACTGTGGGTACCATCTTGGCAGCTGCTGGGGTCTTCTCCCCACAGGAGGGAAGCCAGAATCTACTAGCCAGGTCCTGAGTGGCCCAGCCCACTCCCCCCCACACTTTCCCTGCCCCCTCACCACATACAGCCTGGATCTCTGGGGAAGGCACAGGACTGCCTTTCTCTAGGCTGGAAATCAAGAGAATTGTATCCCAGGAATTTAGACTCAGGTGGGGCTGTAAGGGAAGTTAGATTCCTTTCAGTCAGTCTCTGCTCTACACATTCATTCAGATTGGGTTCAGACCTGTGCTGGGTACATCGTGGAGCCCAGAGGCATCACAGCCTGGTGGGGAGCCTGTGACATGCGTTATTAATGATCCAAGGGCCAGGAGAGAAGCTTGAGAGGGGCAGGGAAGGAGGGTTTCAGAAGAGGTGGCCTTTGAGGGCCTGTTATGTGTCAGACTCTTGACTCCTGAGATGAATGACCTAGCCCCTGCCTCCAAGGACAGCTCAGAATGAAGGGATAGCTGTGAATCAGCATGAGCTTAGGCTGTGAGCATAGCTGGTGGGGCCATACAAGGGTTTTGACCAAGTCAGATTCCTGTGTTTTTTGCTGCTCCAACTCCCTCCTCTGGGAAACAGATGCAGGGGAGTGAATGGACTTACCCAGTGAGGCCGAGTTGGGACCAGAACTGAGAACTCCTGACTTTGGGGGGCCCAAGCACCTAAACTCTCTTGTTTCTGCCCCTTCCTTTGTACCCACTTGACTCTAATCCTTCCCCAAGGTCTCCTTAGCTCCTGTCTCTCCTTTTCTTTCTAGGCTCCTACTTGATGGTCAATGCTTCCCAGCATGCCCCAGGCCAGCGAGCCCACATCATCTTCCAGAGCCTGAGTGAGAATGATACCCACTGTGTGCAGTTCAGCTACTTCCTGTACAGCCGCGATGGGCACAGCCCGGGCACCTTGGGCATCTATGTGCGCGTCAATGGGGGTCCCCTGGGCAGTGCTGTCTGGAATATAACTGGATCCCATGGCCGTCAGTGGCACCAGGCTGAACTGGCTGTCAGCACCTTCTGGCCCAATGAATATCAGGTGGGCTGGGTTCAGTCGGTGGTCAGCCTGTGCCTGGGATGAGGGTAGAGAGATGTCAGCTTAAGGTCAGAGTAAGCAAGTGGCTGGGGTTGGATTTAGTCTGTGTTCAGCATCAGGAGTCAAAGTGGTTAAGGTCAGAGGTCAGTCTGTGGTCAGCAGTTGATTTTTCAGTGATGGTTGGTTCTGGATTCAGCATCAGAAGTCTTTGTTGATAGAAATAGCCTATGGCTGGGGCCAAGGGTGAGTTGGTACAGTGCTGACCTGGAAACCCTGTCTGGCTGGGAAGAGTTTTATGCTTGAAGTACCTGTCCAGCACTGGGATGGAACCTCTGTCCTTGACCTTGTTAGCTCTGGGTACTGATACCCCTTCCCACAACTAGCTGGCTTGGTAGGGAGGGTCACTGTGAGCTGGGCTGACCTCTACTGGTTGAGGTGGAAGGGCCTGGAGCAGAGCTAAAAGGGACCTCTTGTGGGTACCTCCCCAGGCAGGGCTGCAGAGATACCAGCATGACAGGCACCCTCCCACCTCCCCCAGGTGCTGTTTGAGGCCCTCATCTCCCCAGACCGCAGGGGCTACATGGGCCTAGATGACATCCTGCTTCTCAGCTACCCCTGTGGTGAGTCCCAGCCTACTGGGGCACAGGGTGCGGGGTGCGGGTGGCAGCGGCTCCTGCCTGCAGGGAGCGCAGGCCCAGCTCACGCCTCGGCTGCATCCCCATAGCAAAAGCCCCGCACTTCTCCCGCCTGGGCGACGTGGAGGTCAACGCTGGCCAGAATGCCTCGTTCCAGTGCATGGCGGCGGGCAGAGCGGCCGAAGCGGAGCGCTTCCTTCTGCAGGTGAGGGGGGTGGGGACCTTAGCTAAGGGGTGGGGGACTTCTGGGCCCTTGCTCCCTTAAGGGGTACTAAGTCGGTCCTTCACCTTCCAGCACTAATATTCATGCGTCCCGGCTCTCCCCTAGGCTCTCCTCTGCCCTCTTGGGTGCCCCATACTCCCCAATACATTGCGCGGTTCTAGGACCCCCAACAAACACTCTCCGTCAAAGACAGAGCGATCACGTTCCCTTAATCAGCTTTTTAGCCCGCTCTTTGATGCGGCGGAGCTGGTTCCAGAAACCCCGTTCGTCGCCTGTGCAGTAGAGACGGCTAAACGGGTCCAGGACACTTACTACTTCCCTCGCTGGGACCAAAGCGAAATCAAGATCCTCCCAGTGCGGCCCACCTGACCCTGTCGCCCCTCTACCCGCACAGCGGCAGAGCGGGGCGCTGGTGCCCGCGGCCGGCGTGCGGCACATCAGCCACCGGCGCTTTCTGGCCATCTTCCCGCTGCCCGCCGTGGGCCGCTCCGAGCAGGACCTGTACCGCTGCGTGTCCCAGGCCCCGCGCGGCGCAGGCGTCTCCAACTTCGCAGAGCTCATCGTCAAGGGTCAGCGCGCGGAGGGCGGGGCCAGTACCCCACGAGGGGCGGGGCCGGGTCGCACCGGGGGCGGGGCCTGCGGTGGGGGCAGCGTCTCAACCGGGGAGAGGCCTGATCGAGGGGGCGGGGCCTGACTGGGAGGCGGGCCGGCATGGGGACCTGGTCGAGGTGTGAGCCTCGCGTGTCGGGGGTTTGGCTGTGGGTGCGGCGGTGACCGGAGCGGGCGTGCGGGCAGCCCCTGGAGACGAAGACCCGGGGATGAAGGGGAGTGAGGTAGAGAGTGCGGGTGAGGAGTGAGGGCGGGCGCCTTTTAGGGCCTGGGGATTTAGTGGTCGCAGGAGAGGTATTCTGGTCGAGGGCCTGGGAGCGACGTGTTGGGGGACAGGGAGGGCTCTCGGGGATTTTGGTGTGCTGGGACGCAGAGGTAGGAGCCGAGGTCTCACAGCTGCATCCGTCCGCCCGCCTCTCCTCTATCTCCTGGTAGAGCCCCCCACCCCCATCGCGCCCCCGCAGCTGCTGCGCGCGGGTCCCACCTACCTCATCATCCAGCTTAACACCAACTCCATCATTGGCGACGGGCCGATAGTACGCAAGGAGATCGAGTACCGCATGGCGCGCGGCCCGTGGGCCGAGGTGCACGCCGTCAGCCTGCAGACCTACAAGCTGTGGCACCTCGATCCCGACACCGAGTATGAGATCAGCGTGCTGCTCACACGCCCGGGGGAGGGAGGCACCGGCCGCCCTGGGCCGCCCCTGGTCAGCCGTACCAAATGCGCAGGTGGGTGCCTCCTGGCCCCGTTCCCTCGTCCGAACACCCGGATATGGTGGGCTCAGGGCAACCGAGGAGGGAGGAGCACATTCTCAGAGGTAATAAGGCCTGCCTCTGTGCTTCTACGACTTCCTAAAACGTCGTGATTTCCGCCCGGACTTCGTTATGGTAAAGATAATGATAGCTAATACTTCACTTTGTGTCACAGTTATACATATGTGCACACACAGACACACTTATTTAAAACTCACAACGCCACCATGATCTAGGTACTCCTGTCATACCTAGTTTACAGATGAGGTGCTAGAGGTACAGAGATGTTAGGTGACTGGCGCAAGGTCACACAGCTTGTACGTGACAGAGCTAGTTTTGGAACCCTTGACTGGCTGCTCCCAGAATCTGTGTTCTTAATTCTACATTGTATCATCTAACTAAAACAGCTAAACATAAAAGTGTTACTAAATTCTAGCTGGATTATCTTGGCTGGGCATTGAACTTGAGGTTGGTTCTTCCTTGTTAAAAAGGGTAAGGCAGCTGTTAGGGGAAATGGAACACCTGCTCCAGAGGAGACTCTTTTTGTTAAATCCCAAGAGAAATTGAGAACAGACCAGATTTCAGTAATTTTTTATTGGAATTTTTGAGATAATTTTAGATTCACATGCAGTTGTAAGAAAAGATGCAGAGATTTCTTTTACAATTTACCTTGTTCCTGCAGTGGTCATCTTTTGCAAAATGGTAGTGTAATATCACAGTCATGATATTGACATTGACACAATCCACAGATCTTATTCAAACTTACTTAGTTTCATTTGTCCTCATTTGTATGTGTGTATTTAGTTCTATACAATTTATCAAATGTAGATTGTGTATTTACCACCACGGTCAAAATACTGAGCAGTTCAATTAACTGAAGAATTCTTTGTGTTGCTCTTTTAGGTCTATACTCAATCTCCTTCTCTTCTTCGAACCTTAGCCTCTGGTAACCACTAATCTGTCTTTCATTTCTAAAGTTTTGTCATTTCAAAGGTGTTATAAAAATATAGTAGTATATAACCTTTTGAAATTGGTGTGTAAATTTGGTAACAACTTTATTGACATCCCATACAGTTCCCTTTTTAGAGTGTACAAATCAGTGGTTTTTAGTATATTCACAGAGTTGTGCAACCATCTCCACAATCAATTTTAGAATATTTTCATAATCCTGAAAGGAAACCAAAAAGCAGTCTACCCCTCCCACCACTTATCCTTAAAACCTCCTCCAGCCCTAGGCAACCACTCATCTACTTTGTCTCTATAGATTTGCCTCTTTGTAGGCATTTCACATAAAAGGAGTTGTACAATATATAGTCTTTTTTGATTGGTTTCTCACTTAGCATAATATTTTCAAGGTTTATCTGTGTTGTAGCATGTTGTAGCATTTATTCCTTTTTGTTGCTGAATTATATTCCATTACATAGTCATGCCACATTTAACTTTTCCATTCATCAACTGATGGACATTTGGGTTGTTTACACTTTTTGGCCATTATGAACAATGCAGGGTACAGGTTTTTGTGTTGGCATGTTTCCATTTCTCCTGGTTATATACCATACCAATCATATGGTAACTCTATGTTTAACCATTGAAGAACTGCTGGGTTATTTTCCAAAGCAGCTGTACCATTTTTTACATTTCAACCAGCAGCGTCTGAGGGTTCCAATTTCTCTGCATTCTCATCAACACTTGCTACTATCTGTCTTTGATTATACTCCTTCTAATGGATATAAAATGGTATCTCATTGTGGTTTTGATTTACATTTCACTGATGGTTGACGCTATTGAGTATTTCTTCATGTGCTCATTGGCACATGAGTCTTCTTTGTATGTCTTCTCTGTAGAAATGTTGATTTAGATCCTTTACCTTAAGTTGGGTTATTTGTCTTTGTACTATTGAATTGTAAGAGTTCTTTATATACTCTGGATACTAGACCCTTATCAGATATATTTGCAAATATTTTCTTCCATTCTGTGGATTGTCTTTTACTTTTCTTGATAGTGTCCTTTGAAGCATGAAAGTTTTTACTTTTGATGAAGTCTGAGCTATTTTTTCTTTTGTTTGTGGTTTCGATGTCATTTCTAAGAAACCATTGCCTAATCCAAAACCATGAAGATTTACCCCTACTTTTTTCTAGCAGTTTTGTAGTTTTAACTCTTATGTTTAGGTGCTTGATCCATTTTGAGTTAATTTTTACAAATGGTGGGAGGTAGGGGTACAACTTCATTCTTTTGCATGTGGATGTTCAGCTGTCCTAGGACAGTTTATTTAAAAGACTGTTTTTTTCTCATTGAGTTGTCTTGGCACTGAGATTGGCTATTTTGCTCAGCATAATTCTGTAGAGTTTACTCTGAGTTGTGGCGTATATCAATAACTCGTTCAGTTTTATTGGTGTGTATTTCATGGTGTGTATATACAACAGTTTGTTTAACCATTCACCTGTTGAAGGGTATCTGAACTGGTTCCAATTTTGGGCTATTACAAGTAAAGCTGCTGTGAACATTTGTGTACAGGTTTTTGCATAAACATAAGTTTTAATTTTTCTCTGGGATTAAAAGCCCAAGGGTACAACTGATGTGTTGTTTGGTAATTGCATGCTTAATTTTATCAGAAACTGCCAGAATGGCTTTATTGTTTTACATTCTTACCAGCAATGTGTGAGTGATCCAGTGTTTTGCATCCTTGTCAGCATTTGGTGTTATTATTTTTTATTTTAGCCATTCTGAGAGGTGCGTAGTTGATAGCCCATCCTGGTCTTAATTTGCATTTTTGAAGTGCCTAATGATGTATACACTCTTTGGTGAATTGTTCATGTTTTTGCCCATTTTCTAATTGGATTATTCATTTTTTAGTGTGGCATCTTGAGAGTTATTTACACATTCTAAACACTAGTCTTTTGTTGGGTGTGTAGTTTGTAAATATTTTCTCTTGACTTTTAGCTTTCACAGAGCAACCATTTTTAATTTTGATGAGGGCCAGTTTTGCAAAATTTTCTTTTTTAAATTTTGCTTTTGGTGTCAAGTTTAAGAACTCCTTGCCTAGTCCTAGATCCCAAAGATTTTCACTTTTTCTTAAATTGTTATAGTTTTACATTTTTTACATTTAAGTCCATGATCCATTTTGAGTTAATTGTTGGATAAGGTACAAGGTTTAGGTTGAGGTTAGTTGTTTTTTGCCAATCAGCAAAGCTGATCTGGAACCATATGAAAACCAGTTTAATGCCACATTTGGGGAGATTCTTGGGTGGTGGGTGCGTCAGTGTTTCAGTGGGAATTACTTTGTAGCTCAGGGACCTGGGTTCGGTTTCTTAACCTCTTAGAGCTTTAGTCCCCTTATTTGTTAATAGGAATAATAATAATTTTTACCATATAGGGTAAGTGTGAAGATTCATTCGACAAACATTTACTGAGTGCCTACTATGGGTTAGGTATTATTTGTAGTGGCTCGGGATGTAGGACAGTGACCAAGAAAGACAAAGGCCACTATCATGTGACCTTCTTGTGCAGGAACTCTGCATGGGACTCACATTCTGGCAGGAGGAGACAGTAAACAAATGAAATACAAGTTTGTCAGAGGAAGAGTGCTGTGAAGTGTAAAGTAGGGAGGGGGATGGGATATGGGGGTAGGAGGACTGTTATTTCAAAAAGGCTCAAGGGACCATTGAACTGAGGAGGTGATACCTGAGCAGAGACTGGAAGGAAGTGAGGGACTGAGCCATGCAGGGAGCTGAAGGAACTGCTGGCTGAAAGAGCATGCCAGATGGACTGAACAGCAAGCTCAAAGGCATGGAGGGTGTGCTCGGCGAGTGGTGAGGAACAGCAAGGAGACCAGTATAACTGTGGCCTGGCGACTGAGGGAAAGATGGCAGGAGAGGAGGCCCAAATCGCGCTGGGGATGTGGGACTCAGCTATTTTATGCTGAGTAAACTGGGGAGCCATTGCAGGATTTGGAGAGCTGGAGCGACATCACCTACGTTGTTTAAAGGATGACTCGGGCCCTTTAGTGAAGCATAGTGTCTAGGGGGGCAAGGGGCCCAGAGAGGAGACCAGTGAGAGGGCCGCAGCAACAATCCAGCTGAGAGATGGCGGACGCTGGGAGCCGGGAGGTAGAGGTAGTTAGATGTTGGGTTTATTTTGAAAGTAGAAATGACTGTGTTTGCTGATAGATTAGCTATGCAATGAGGGAGAGGGAAATAGAAGTCAAGGATGGCTCCAAGGTGTTTTCCTTGGGCAGCTAGAAGGATGGAGTTGTCATTTACGGCAGAGCAGCAGACTGCGGGAGGAGCAGGTGTGATGGGGTATCGTGGATCAGGAGTTCTGTGTTGGAAATGTTCACTTTGAGACGCCTATTAGACGTTCACGTGAAGATATCCATCAGGCAGATGGATTTATGAATGCGGAGTTTAGGGAAGAGGTTCAGGCAGCAGATATAAATTTCAAAGTCGTTGGTATAGACATAGTGTAGATGGTATTTAAAGCAATGAGACAGGATGAAATCTTTTATGCTAGTGGTTCTCAACTGGGAGTGATTTTGTCTTTGTCTTGCCAATGGATTTCACCTCCGGGCAAGTTCACTATGGATTCAGTGTGACCAAAGAAATGACAGTAGAACGTTCTTGGGGTGAAAGGGTTATACTCAACATTATTTCCACAGTGGCAGGTCAATCACTGAAATCTCATTCACTTGGATGGAGTCTGCATGCAGCAAGCTGGTCTCTTCCTCTGGGCCTCTCTGCCTGCACAGCCATCCTCTGGGCACAGCCGTCCCAGTCTCTGTCCCCACTGCTGCCACCACTCCAGCCTCTGCTCTGCTCTCCTGCAGCCTTGCAGCCATGCCACCGTGTCTCCCAGAGCACTGGGCGGAGCTCTTTGTATAGAGTCAAAAGCAACGTCTTGTCCACACATGTGTAGCGAGCTAGCCAACCAGGGCCAGGTGAGAATCCTGGCCACAGGAATTTTCATTTTATCCAGTCTCCCAGAAGACATTTGCAGTGTCTGGAGACATTGGTTGTTACAACTGGGGTGAGGTGGTGGTGGCATTAAAAGGGCAGGGGGAGCCAGGGAAACTGCTCAGAATCCTTTGATGCCCAGACAGCTCCACAGCAGAGAGTCATCTAGTCCAACAATGGCAATAGTGCTGAAGTTGAGAACCCTGATTAGTCCTTAGATTTTAGGGAATAGACGTAGGTGGAAAAGAGAGGAGTTGTGAGGCTTGAACCTTGGGTCCTCCCAGTGTTTTGGGTTAAATCAGATAATTCCATGTAAATGCATTCAATGCATGTGAAGCATAGTGCCTGTCATACAGTTAGCACTCTGTAAATGACTATTTTGCATTATTATTGCTGTTTGAAATTCTTCAAAGCCTGTTCTGTTTGGATATTTGGAATAAAATAAGCCAGAGCCAGGTGGGCCTCAGAAAATCTCTGTTCTCTTCCCCATAGTATGCAGATGGGAGAAGGCGCTAGCCTGGGATCATCCAGCAGGTCAAGAAGCCAAGCTTCCTAGTGACAGCTGTTGATTATTCCCATTTCACAGATGAGTAAACTGAGATTTAGTGATCTACTCACTTGTCCAAATCTAGAGAGTGAGTCCACAGCAGAGTCAGAATCAAAGTTTCAAGGTCTGGATTTCCAATCCAGTGTTTGAAACAATAACCACAACAGCAGCTAACCTCGTGGGCTGACTGCCCACTTTGTACCAGGCACAGCTAAATTCTTTGCATAGGCAGGTCAGGACAGAAGCTGGGGCAGGGACCAGACTGACAGGACCCAAACAACTCATCCTGCCCCTCCTAATTACATGCTCCTTGACATCACCACCCCTCCATGCTTAGGCCCCTGGGCCAGTAATTGCTTTGTGGTTGGCCAACTGTGTTGTCATCTCCTGTCTCCCCCTAAAACTCTCCTCTGACAATATTATTTACTCTAAAAATAATATAACGTTAGTAAAAGGCATTTTCACAAAAGCACTCTAGAGCACTCCATCCTAGCCCAACAGCTGTTGTAGCTCCTCTCTCTTCTTCAAATCTCTGCCCATATGCCTACAGCACACATTTTTACACCCCTGTGATTGGGATGGAGAAAGCATTCTGTATTCTGCTGCCTTTGCTTGGTGGTGTTCCATGTGTTGTTTATAATTATGTTTGTTGACTATAGAAGTCCATTGAATGTCTCCATTTGCTGGACTATTGGTTTCCAGATCCCTAGTATTCTAAATAATACTACATTGAAAAGCTTAGTGTTTATGCTCCCTCCACCTCCACCCCCACTAATTTCTTTAGCATAAATAGGAGTGGTCTGTAGTGGTGTAAGAAAGGGCTTTGATGTTTAGAAAAAAGGTTGTGCTACTTTATATCACTACCAGTATCGCACTTGGGGGCACACATATTTATTAATCACAATAGGCTGGGAAGTTCGACTCACATCACCTCCTGTAACTCTCACACTTGTTTTTCAAAGTAGGTGTTATTGTCACCATTTTCTGTCAAGGATTCTGAGGTTCAGAGGGGGTTCAATGACTTGCCCTAAGTCACAGAACTGATGACGGGGAGGGGATAGGGTTTGAACTTGGCAGCACCTGACCCCTCTCCAAAGCTCCTTCCATGGGAACAGTTGAGTGTTTCAGGGTTATTGCATCCTCATTAGCACTGCACATGTTGGCTAATTTAACAGGTGTTAACTGTTAGCCTCCTTGTTTTAAGGTGTATTATGACCTTTGATCTCTGAATGGCCTGCAGCCCTGTGAACTTAGAGGGATGGGGCTTTGAGGTCCCCAAGCTCTGTTTTGCCAGTGTACACTGGCAGCTGAAGAGAGTGAGTCTGGGTGCCAGATGGTTTTTGGAAACAGAGAGACTCATGAATTCACACCCCTCAATCAACATATCAGTCTATAGTCAACAAACGATTTGAGCCCCTGGATCTGCCCAGATTTGATTGGGATGGGGAGCAAAGAGAAAAGTGAGCTTTCTTTTCAAAGGCCCCTCAGTCTAGCAATGTAGCTGGGGGCCAACACAGCTGTTAGAGAAGGAGATACCCAAGTATGAGGGTGGAAGTTTCATCCTCCAAGTTGGAGGTTGCTATTTTGTGCCTTGCAAACTGGTTGGAAAAATCTGAGTAGGTTGCCAGTATTTAAAAATCTGGAGATTTCACATAAAAAAAAATCTGAATTTCTGGTCTCTCTTAAGAAATGGGAGGATCCAGCAACCCTGGGCTTGTAGTCCTACATGGCAACATGGCTTGGAGCTGATAGAAGCTGCCCTTTTGGATGGGACACTTACTGTCCTGTGTGCCACAGTCTTGACCCAGCCTATGCACTGGTTTACATGAAGCTTTTCATGCCCTTTTCAAAATGTTGCAGGAGGGCAAGACAAACAGTGCACTGTGGCCAAGCCTAGAAGGATGGGAGGGGATCTGGGGCAGGTGTTTCAGGGGGTGGGGATGGTGTGAGCAGAGTTGCAGGGAACCGAGACTTGCTCTCACTAGTGCAAAAAAAACCCAGTGGTACTTCGGGTTGCACAGACACTGTGGGCCTGTACATGTGGGGCAGCCAGGACTGGAGCCATAAAGCCAGGGAATAAAGCAGCTACCTCTGAACAAGTTGGCAGAGTTAGCATACACAAAATCTGCTTCTTGCACTCCAAACACACAAGAACCATGGGTGAAACAAAACTATGTAGAAAACAGGAAAATCTCTGTGGCCCAGGAATGGGAGAGAAAACATAACTGTGCTAAGTGGGCTTGCAGCCAATAGCGCTTAGGGATCGAGTCTGCCTTGCCTGGGGAGAAGAGAGCCAGGCTCTCTGTAAGAAGTCAGGAGGTGGGCCTTGCTCCTAGCAGACGCCGAAATATCTCTTTGGTGGCCTGATACATGACTGGAAGACTGCCACTTGCCTGTGGCCCAGGGAAGAAAGAAAAGCTTCTGGGTGGAAATGGAAACTTGTTTTGTGTTGTTCTTGGGGCCAGTGTCTAAAGCTGTGTTCCCCATGCACTCTCCAGTAAAGAGCAGCCTGGGCTGATGTTTCCCTTGGCATCTCCTTTGTAAAGAGTATCCTGAGCAAATTAATCATATAGAAATGATAATAAGGTCATGCTTAATCATCTTAAGAAGCCAAGCAGCAGTACTTTCTCATTTATTCACCAAGGGGTATCATATCCTGAGGTCCTCTAACTGGGAATGCTTTGCAGGTGCCCACAGAACTCGAGGGTAATGAAACTGCTTTTCAGAGTCAGGTTGCCAGAGAGAAAAACATCGTTAGTAATCTTGGCTTTTATCATTTTATAGATGAGGAAATTGAGGCCCAGATATTTGCTTAAGATCACACAGCTGGTCCATGCAGATGCAGGACTGGGGGCTGAGCTCCTGGGCTCCATCCTGGCTTTGCTTCAGAAGCCTGTTTCTTTACTCATAAGATGGGGATAACTTCCTGGCCCCATGGAATCATCAAGAGGCTGGAAAGCATAGTAACATACCCTTCACTCACGTTGGGGTAGCTGTCTCTCCTGAGGCATTGGTGTGATTTTTTCTTTTCTTTTTTTTTCACACAGTTAATAAGGATGGGGAGGCAGGGTAGAGGTGGTTAAGAGTATGGATTCTAGAGCCACTCTGTCCAGGTTTGGATTACTGTCTGTGTGACTGTGGGCAAGTTACTTAATCTCTTTGTGCCTGTATTTCCACATCTGTGTGACAGGGCTAATAATACCACCCATCTGTTGGATTATAGAGAGGATTAGATGAGAGAAAGCATTTCAAGCCTCTAGAGTAATGTTTGACACATACGGGTCCCTAGTAACTGCTATTATATAACATTATATTTTCTTTTTTTCCTATGGCAGTCAAGGAACTCACCACCCAATCTGAACTTTAACTTTAGGTCCACAAAGGACCTAATGGCATGCATTTCTGCTTCCCTAACATTCTCTGATGTTATTTAATTATTTGGCAACCTTTCCCCCCATCATCCTGATTTTTATATATTATTGTTCGTATATGTTATTGTAAGTTGTTTTAGAGCAAGTTTGGAACTAACAAATTAAGAAAAATCCAGCAACTGGTTGACTCAGACTATCCTGATGTCCTCCAGGATGATCTTCAAACAGGAGGTGAACTGTTATTAGAAGTAATTGCAGCTAATATTTTTGAGGGCCTTTTGTATATTGGGCCATCATCACACATGCTTTGCATGCAGTATCTGAAACCTCATCATCCATCCTGTAAGGTAGGGCCTATTGTCCCATTTTATTGTTGAGGAAACTAAGTCTCAGAGAGGTGAAGTCACTCAGCCAGTGGTTGCCAGCTCAAAGTGGCAGAGCCAGGATTGAGATCTGGCCCCACTGGACTCCAAAACACACAGCTTCACTGTTCTAGGGGATCCTTCAAGCTCTTGGGGTCAAGGGAGGGATGACTTCAGCTAGCTACTGATGCATTTGTCTCCTATCCCACTTCTTCTCTTCCCATTTCCTGCACCTTCTCTTTGCTTCTCTGTTCCCAGAGCCAATGAGGGCCCCCAAAGGCCTGGCTTTCGCTGAGATCCAGGCCCGTCAGCTGACCCTGCAGTGGGAACCGCTGGGCTACAATGTGACACGTTGCCACACCTACACTATGTCCCTCTGCTATCACTACACCCCGGGCAGCGGCCACAACCAGACCATCCGGGAGTGTGTGAAGATGGAGCGGGGTGTCAGCCGCCACACCATCAAGAATCTGCTGCCTTACCGGAATGTTAACGTGCGTCTTGTCCTCACTAACCCTGAGGGTCGCAAGGAGGGCAAGGAGGTCACCTTCCAGACGGATGAAGACGGTAAGAGTGCCAGCCCTGATTCCCAGGATTCTCAGTGCCTCCCGTAGACAGCCCATGTCTGAGACTGAATTTTTTATAGTGATTTTTTTGCCTAGGATTAAACCGACTATGTAACAACGAAGTAATGGTAACTAACATTTCTTCTCTGGCAGACTTTGAGTTAGGTTGGTGTAATTTCTTCCTTAAGTATTTAAAGAGTTCAGCTGTTGAAGCCATTTGGACCTGGAGTTTTCTTTGTGGTGTTGTTTTTTAAGAACACTTTTACTTTTTAAAGTAGATATTAGAATATTCAGAATACAGAATATTCTACTCTCCTGTCAGTTTTGGTGTACTGTGTTCTAAAGGAATTTGTTCATTTTACCTAAGTCATCAAATTTCTTGACATAAATTTGGTTATAATATTCTATTGTTATATTTATTTAATGTCTGTAGGATCTATAGTGATATCTCCTTTTTCATTCCTGATACTGGGAATTTGTGCCTTCTCTCTGTTTCCTTGTTTACCCTTGCTAGAGGTATGTAAATTTTATTAATCTTTTCAAAGAGTTAATTTTGGCTCAGTTGATATTCTTTATTATATATTTATTTTCTATTTATTTCATTTGTTATGCTTTCTTTGGATTTGATCAGCTGTTCTTTTAGCTTTTTGAGATGAAGTTTATTAGGTCATTGATTTTGAGCCTTTTTTCATTTCTAATGCATGGATTTTAAAGTTATAAATTCCCCTCTAAGCCTTGCTTTAGTTGTAGCCCACAAGTTTTGATATGTCCTAATGTCCTATCTTCATTACCATTGAGGTAAAAATATTTTCTAGTTTCTGTTATGATTTCTTCTTTGATTGACGAGTTGGTTAGAATTATATTGCTTAATATTTTTCTAAGTAATTGGAACTTTTCTAATTATCTCTGTGTGGTTAATTTCTAGCTTAATTCGACTGTGGTCAGAGGAAATACTCTCATTTTGGTCTTTTTAAATTTGATCCTTGCTTTGTGGCCCAGCATATGGTTAAATTTTGGTAGATGTTTCATGTGTACTTGAAAAAAATGTGCATTCTGTCATCGGCTGCAGTGTTCTACTTATGTCAAGCTAATACTTACTTAGCACTTACTACATGTCAAGCACTATTCTGAATGCTTTTAATAAATTAATGCCTATAATCATCATGACAACCCTATGTAGTAGGTGACTATTACTATCCCCCTTTTACAGATGAAGTCACATAGCTAGTAGAGAGATAGCAGAGCTGAGTTTCAAACCTGGCCATCTGCTTCAGAGTTTTCATTCTTAACAGCTATGCTGTAATGCCAGCACAGATCCTGCAAATGCCCCAGATTCTTGCAAACCCCCAGGTACCCTAAGCTCCTTGGTTGATGGTTTTTCTTGCCTCTTGCCTAAGTGTAATTTTCTGTCTGCACAGCAGTGGGCCAGACACAAAAATGCAACTCCTTCCTTGAATTGCACAAAACCCTACTCACCCAAGTCAGTGTGTATGCCCTGTGCCCTGAGCTGATGCCCTGAGGATTTGTTGGGGTTGGGGGTGAGGACTAGAGGGATTTACACTGAAATACTGCAAGTGTAGATAAAGAAAAAGTTCACTTTTTTTCCCCCTCTACCCATCTTAGGTTCATTGGCTGGAAGCCTATAAATTCGACTGGGAAAAGAGACTAATGAGACAAAAACAAACAGGAGATAATTACCATGTGCATTGCACATATACAAGGGAGTACTCAGTGATGAGTAACTCAGAGGGGTGGGTAGAACTTGGGCTTATATAGCATCTTAACAAAATACTTCTCTAACAATTTTTAGAGAATTGACAAGACAAAAGAAAAGTACTTTGAGATTCTAGGTACAGTGAATTCTGTGCAGGCAAATATGTGGAAAGCTAATGGTAGGTAAGGGTTAGTAAAGTTTATGTAGATTATTTGGGCTGATAAGGGTCTAGCATTGTCTCAGTGATTAACTTCCTAGAAAGGGGAGAGGGGTACCTTTACATGTTTATGTTCTGCTTTTTGAAAAATAGGGGGAGGGCAGAGAGCTTTTGCATCTGCTTCTCAATTCAGCTCAAAATAGTCCTATGCCAAGTGGCATATTTTTGGGTGACATGATCTGCTACCCGTCACAAACAACCTCAAGTTCAACATCAGACCACTCTATTCTTAAAGTCTGTTGACTTCTGGCCCCCATCCCCAAAATATTATTGCTGTAGCTGCTTCACTTGACTCTGATCAGGCCTCATTTGGGCTGCTTGGTCTTCTTTCTTTCTCTACCTCTCTCCCGACTCCGTCTAATAATTTATAATTTAATGTGTTTTACTTTTCATTATATAATACTTAGAGGAAGTATGCTAATTTTAAGTGGTCAGTTTAGTGGATTCAGACTGGACACATCAGGCTAACCCACACCCAGACTAAGAAAAAGCATGACCAGCAGCTCAGGAGGCCCCTTTACGCACCCTCCACGGGTAACTGTCATCCCGACCTGTATTGCCATGGATTAATTTCTGCTTGGTTTTGAACTTCACATCAGTGGAATCATACAGTGTGTGTTCTTTTTATGAATGGCTTCTTTCTCACAGCTTTATGCTTGAGAGACTGAGCCATGTTGTGTGTATAGTTCTAAAGAATTCATTCTCATTGCCGAATAGTCCATTATGCGAATGTACCACATTTATTTTTCCTATTTACTGTTGCTGGCCATTTGGGTTGTTTCCAGTTTTCAGCTATTTTCAATAGTGCTGCAAAGAAAAATCCTTGTAAATTCTTTTTCTGGGGGTAGATAGGTGTACATTTCTGATGGATTTATGCCTAGGAGGGGGATCGCTGGGTTCTGCAATGGAATAGGATATGTGCTTGTAATGAGTAGATATATTCAGATAGTTTCCCCAAGTGGTTGTATCAATTTACGCTTCCCCTAGCAGTGTGTGAAAATTTCAGTTACTCTGCATTTTACTTTACACTAACACTGGGAATTGTCTCTTTCACTTTATTGTTTTGCTGGGTGGATAGTGGTGTTGCCTTGTTAACGGCTTATTTTCACACAGAGCACTTTGATTTCACTGATTGTTCTCTTGGTTTCTGCTTTCCTCTGCCTTAGGATTTCAGCTTCCCCACAGTGGTTTATTGAGGTGTTTTCCTAAACAAAGACAATTCTCTTCCTAGAAGAAATTCCTCCTGACTGCTGCTAAGATGATACATTAGAACAATACAAACAAAACAAAACAGAACTATGCCTGAAATAGTTTATTCTAAAATATTAACAGTATGTCTGGGTGAGGGATTTGTAGGTGCCACTTATTTTCTTTATGTTCATTTGGATTTTCTACACTCAACGTGTTTGGGTAATCAGAAATTTTTAGACAGGAAAACATCTCCACCTATAATCTCGCCACTCTAATGCAATTGTTTTTATTTCTCTGGCAAACGTCTGTATTTTCTAAAAATCACTCGACTGGAACAAAACAGGAGCATTCAAACACTCTTCTCTGCAGAATGCAACCTGTACAATAATGAAAAAGCTAGCTATCGTTTCTGAGTACTCAGAAATAGGTTGAACCATATGAAATTGCTGTTACTTACCTTGGTGCTTTATGTACTCACGTCATTTAATTCTGGTGAAGGAGGGTTATTATCATCCATTTCACAGATGAGGAAACTGAGGCTCAGAGAGGCTGAGCAGTCCAAGCATACCAGCTAGGAAATGGCAAGGCTGGCGTTTGGACCAGGTACCTGGCTCCAGAGCCCGCTTTCCCTCGCCTCATGCTGCCTCTCCTCCTCAGTGCCTGGAGGTATTGCAGCCGAGTCCCTGACCTTCACGCCACTGGAGGACATGATTTTCCTCAAGTGGGAGGAGCCCCAGGAGCCCAATGGCCTCATCACTCAGTATGAGGTGGGTTTGGGCCCCATTACAGTGGGGACCCCTGGTGGAAGGTGGGCAGAGAGCTTGGAAAGGGAGGCGCATGGTGGGTGGACAGAGGGAATCACTGAAGTTCCTTCAGCTCTGCTCAGCATCTGCCCTGTGGGTTATGGGGATGGAGTCCTGAAGGCAGGAGAGAGAAGCAGAGATGCCCAGAGGCCTGGGCTAGTAGGCATCCACAGTTCCATTGAGCCTATCCCCTTTGCCCAGCCTATCCCTTGCTCACCCGAACCATGATGGGTGGGAGACTGTGGGGCCAATAAGGCCCTTCCCCATTCCTGTGCCCACCTACCTGGCAATCCTGCCCCCAGATCAGCTACCAGAGCATTGAGTCATCAGACCCTGCTGTGAATGTCCCGGGCCCGCGACGTACTATTTCCAAGCTCCGCAATGAGACCTACCACGTCTTCTCCAACCTACACCCAGGCACCACCTACCTGTTCTCTGTGCGGGCACGCACGGGCAAAGGCTTTGGCCAGGCAGCACTCACTGAGATCACCACCAACATCTCAGGTGAGCCCTCCCTCACCCTGGCCTGACCCCATCCTTTGGAGGTGGCAGAGAATCCTAGGGTTCTGTGGGCAGAGGAGGGGCAGCAGGGAGGCATCCTGGGGGCAGTTATAGAGAGCCCCCAATGATGATTGTACCATTTAGGGATTGAAGTCAAGGGGGCTGGAGACCTGGCCTTCGTGGTCCTGTGGTCAGGCTCCATGCTTATGTCCCTGTCCCCTTCCCCAGCTCCTAGCTTTGATTATGCTGACATGCCATCACCCCTGGGCGAGTCTGAGAACACCATCACCGTGCTGCTGAGGCCGGCACAGGGCCACGGTGCGCCCATCAGGTGGGAAAGCCTGGATGGAGGGGCGGGAGGTCAGGGCCATAGGGAAGAGGCCTCTCCTCTGATGCAGAGCCCCCCACCCAGGCCACTTCGCCCATGTCCTCCCTCAGGCTCCCACTCTGGGCCCAGAGTGTCAGGTGGAGGGTGTTCTGTGACCCTGGGCCAGTGGACAGCCTGCAGTCACTCCCCTCTCAGGCTGTGGGTGAGATCTTTGGACAGCGTCCAGCCTGGAGAGGTGATTGTCCAGGCCTCTCGGAGGGCCTTTCCTCAGAACCTTGGAGAAGTGAAACTCTGGGGGCCTTATTTCTTCCTAGCTTTTCCCTGGAGGTTCCTGCCCAAGAAGACACAGGGATGGGTTTTCTAGAAGGATGCAGCAGCTGGCCAGAGAAGGCCATCTCTCTGGAGTGGCCAAGAGCTTGGCTTTGCCACTTCCTTCTTCCCAAAGAAAACTGGGGCTGCTGCTGGCTGCCTCTGCTGGGGAGAAGGTGCTGGAGACACCATGGTGTGTGTGTGTGTGTGTGTGTGTGTGTGTGTGATAAAGGCATGTGATGTGTGTGTGATGCATGGTGTGGAGGTGAGTGTGAGAGAGAGCATGAAGGGTTTGTGGGATGTGTGCACATACTTGCTGTCAGCCAGACACCATGTTAGGGACTTTACTTGCACAGGGCATTTTATCCTCATGGAAGCCTGTGGAGTGGGTGCTATTACCCTTATTTTACACATCAGGAAACAGGCTCAGAGAGCCTAAATAATAGCCCCCAAGGCCACACAGCTGGAACCCAGGTCTGTCTGCAAAGCTGACACCTTTTCTTGAAGTCATAGAGCCTCCCTGCCCCTCTGGTCCACATCCTCCTCCTGCAGAGTCATGTGCTGGGAGAGGGTGACAGTCTCTTTTTGCGGGGTCCTACTAAGCCCCCAAGAAGGTAATGGGTTGCCCAGGTGCCCTTGACATTCCCTCACTTTTAACTCTTTTCTTGTGCTTTGTCTCCCTTGTATTTGTTACTGTAAAGCCTGTCCTGGGCTGGATTCTCAGAGTCTCAGGGGAAACATAGGAAAAAGTCAGGGTGTCTGTGGAGCATTTTGCATTTTGCAGGAGACTCAGGGCCCTTGTGCAGCTGAATCTGGGAGGAGTTGGAAATCCAGCAGCATCTTCTCCTTTCCTTCCTCTTGGGGGGATCGTGTGAGCAGGCACTGTCAGGGTCCCCCAGGGATGATGATGACAAGGCGGGTAGGCATGGGGTGCAACACGGTGAGAGGGCAGAGGCATGGCTGTGCAATCTTGGGCATGTCGCTTCACCTCTCTGAGCTTCCTTTTCCTTATCTGAATAATTGGGATCATCCCAGATCAAGATGTGCTTTGCTCATGGCCAGTGTTGATTATGATCATCTCCTGGTGGGACCTGGGGCCAGAGGAGGCCTGATGTCAGCCTGGGAAATGGAGGCGGAGAGGGGCCTGGGCTGGGGTTAGCAGCGTGTGAGGGACAGGGAACAAGTCTGTGTGGCCCAAATCCCAGCATGCTGGGGTGATCCCCCCCTAGCTTAGAAACTCAAAAGAAACAGCTGGAGAGCAAGACAAAGGCATTTCTACTTCCAGAGCAGGGGCTGTCAGTGTGGGTGTCACTTGCTAAGACCTGGAAATATTTAAATTTGTCAGCAGTCGTTTATTTACTCTTGGCTTTGTTCCACAGAGGATTTGGAGGCACTCATAGCAAGTGGCCATTCAGAAAAGTGATAAAAATAAGTAGAAACACACAAGTTGAGACCAGGAGACACAGATCAGAGGGAATACAGACTGGGGAACACAGATCAGCTGTCAGGACCTGGAGATGACAGGCTTAGAGTTGTAGACTCAAGGCTGCCCCTGGGTTGGGTGGGTACTCAGGATGTAGGATTATTGGGTCCTTGTCTGCTTGCTCAGAGACTGTCTGCCCTACTAGAGGTCAGTGCCAGGAAGCCTAGATCCCCCAGTGCCTAGCACAGGGCCCATCACCTGTGCTTACTGAATGAATGACTGCATCAGGTCTAACTCTAGTTTACCGAGGCCCAGAGGGAGCAATCAGTAATGCAGTCTGAGGCTCTGGGTGGATTCCAAGGTCCAGTGGCAGGTGCTGGAGGACACACTGAGGAGTCAGCAGGGTGCCTTGAGGCATGGTGCCGCCATGCAGGCCCACATTCTTACATCCGTGGTCATAGTAATAGCAGCTGACAGGCTCTGGCTGCTTGTTAAAATTGCCTGTCTTCCACCTACCTCATGGAACAATCTGGGATCACTCTCGTTTTACAGAGGAGGAAACTGAGGCCCAGGAAGGTTGAGTTAACCAGCTGGTAGGAGGCAGAGCCCAGATTAGCCCCCAGCTGGGCCTGACTCCACAGCCCATGCCCTTTACCACCACAGGGCTACTGGGCCTGTCCTCTGGCCCCTGTGATCACTGCACTGTCCCTTTCCGTCCAGTGTGTACCAGGTGATTGTGGAGGAGGAGCGGCCACGGAGGCTGCGGCGGGAGCCAGGCAGTCAGGACTGCTTCCCAGTGCCTCTGACCTTCGACACCGCACTGGCCCGCGGCTTGGTGCACTACTTTGGTGCCGAACTGATGGCCAGCAGTCTGCCTGAGGCTATGCCCTTCACCGTGGGTGACAACCAGACCTATCGTGGCTTCTGGAACCCACCACTTGAGCCCAGGAAGGCTTACCTCATCTACTTCCAGGCAACAAGCCACCTGAAGGGGGTGAGAGACCTGCAGGTGTTATGATGGGGGCTGTTGTGGGGAAGGCTGGGGACACCTTGGAGCCACCTGAGCAGCCCGCTAGAGACTCCCCTCACTCCCCAGGCCCCAACCCTCCTTGAAGCACCCCCTACCCCAGCCCTCCCAGCCCTCCTGACCCCAGGCCCCAACCCTCCTCGGAGAACCCCCTGCCCCTAAGTCCCACGCCCCAGCCCTCCCGACCCCAGGCTCCTTCCCTCAGATCACTGCATTCTTCCTGGGCTTTCTTCCCCAGACCCCTTTCTGTCAAGCCCCCAGTCTAGTCTTTGCCTCTTTCTGAGGCCCTGGTCTCTATCTTGGCCTCCTCTCCCCTAGAGAGGTCCATCTCAAGTTTCTGCTTCTACCTTGAGGCCTAGGACCCACCTCCTCCCTGAAGCCCCGCCCTTCTCCAGGCTCCTCCCACCTCCCATCTCTGCTTCCCAAGCTTGCTACACCTAACCAAACCGCTGCCCTCATTTCTGAGGCCCTGTCCCCCTTCCCTTGCTCTTTTCCTGTCCCTGTTTCCTCGTTCCTCTTCCCTATGGCATTGCCCTATTGGCAGGCCCCTCCCCTCTCTGGCCTTCCCTACCCTCCCTGGTTCCCCTGCAGGCCCTCCTGAGCCCACCAGGTGTGGAATTGGGAGGGTGTCTAGTTACAGTCCCACTAAGATGAACCTGACCAGGACCAAGATAAGCCTCTGCCCAAGATCCCCCTCTCCCTTCCCCACCCCCTGGGAGGGTCAGGTCGGGACTTCAGCGGTGCTGAGACCCCCATCTGTGCCTCCAGGAGACCCGGCTGAATTGCATCCGCATTGCCAGGAAAGGTAAGCCCCTAGGTTCCTCAGGCCTTCAGCAGCAGGTTCCTCCCGTCTAGGCTCTGGGGACCCTGAGCGCCCAGGGCCGTTGGAGCAGAGGAGGGTGGCCTGGCAGGCTTAGGGTGAGGAGACCTTTCCCTTCTGGGTCCCCGTTTGCCCTACCTCAAGGCTCGTTCTAGACTGGGCAGCAGGGCTAACCTCTTCTTCCTTCACAGTAGCCACAGAAGAGGCCTTGGCAGGGGTCTGGGCCAGGCCTGTGGGTGGGGAGCCATTATGGTTGGGCCATGGGGTGATGGTACTGGGCACTGTCCTGGGTTCTTTATCTGCCCCCATTCCTTTGGTGGGCAGAGGGGTCCCTGCAGTGTAGGGATTGTCTCTGCTTCCAGCCTGGGAATGCAGTTGGTTCCCCATCCTGAGATGCCTGAACCATGCTCTAGATACATAGTTCTCTCCCCACCTCCCCGACCTCCCAGGAGGGAAGAGGGTAGATCTGAAGGCCCAGGCAGCCTCCATCCACTGAAAGATGGGGAGGATTTGAGAAAGCAGGAAAGGGGAGCTATTCCTGAAAGGGGAACAGTGCAAGTAAAGCCTCTGACCAGGGAAGGCAGAGGTGTAAGGGGGGTGAGGAGACAAATCTGATTGAAAGGCTGGGTATGTGTTGAGGACAAGGGGCAGCTGTCTTTGTGCAGCCCAGTTTATTCCTTGGAGCTCAGACCCCTGCAGGCAGGAGGTGGAGGGGTGGAGGGGGGGGTCCCTATCTCTCCTCTGATCCTTTGTCTTGCTTTGTTCTCCCCAGCTGCCTGCAAGGAAAGCAAGCAGCCCTTGGAGGTGTCGCAGAGGTCGGAGGAGATGGGACTCATCCTGGGCATCTGTGCTGGGGGCCTTGCTGTCCTCATCCTCCTGCTGGGGGCCATCATTATCATCATCCGCAAGGGGTGAGTGAGGCTGGAGCCCTGGCCCACCTGAGGCTTCTGCTCTTCAGAGGCCTGGTGGGCACAGGGTAGCGGTGGCTCAGGGCTGGTAGGGCAGCCTCCTGGCAAGCATATGGAGGGCTGCCAGCCTGGGCATCAGGCCTGTAGATGGGCCCAAGCCGGGCGGTGGGGAGCCAGAGACTGCAAATGGAACTGTCCTAGAGTGGCTTGGCTGAAGCCCAGGTCAGGCTGGTGCCAGGTGCCACTATCCAGGGAAGGGTACTCAGTGCCTGCTGCCAAGGAGCTGTGTTGGAAGTGGGCACTGCCCTTCTGTGCCTGCTGGGCTGTTCCAATGGGGAGTATGTGGAGGTGACCTGACTTTGAATCTCTGGCCCTGTGTAGACCTTCTGCCAACTTGTCTGCATTGACGATAGGGTTGTGGTGTTGACCTTGAGCAGTGAGGGTGTTGCTCGCTCCCCTTTAAACCAGGGACTCTGAGCTGTGGCTTTTCCCAGGCCCACCCTTCCTTGGGCTCAGCTTTCCCTGGACCCTGTTACTGTTAATCCCTGAGGAGTCCTCCTGGGTCCATGACTCAGAGAAGACCTCCCTCTTGTCCCTAGCATTTCCCAGCCCTCAAAGGTCTAGCATCGTGCTTCAAAGAATCAGTTTCCTAGTGCATTTTGCAGTGGGCAGCATGAATCCCAGCACATCTGAGAATCTAGAACTTAGAATTCTGGAGTTTCAGAAATCCAGGATTTGGGATTGTAAGAATCTCAGAATTTAGAATTGTAGAGACTCAGAGTTCAGGTAGTTCAAGGATGTCAAGTCTTGTGGTTTTCAAATATTTTTAAAGCAACAGAACCTGTCTTCAAAACACCAAATAAAGCATTCCCTGCAAGCCCAGTACATGGGACAGCTGGAGGCTGACCTGGTTGGAGCTGGGTGGGAGCTTCTGAGACCCCTCTGCGTGCCCTCTGCCCCACCTCGTCCCCCAGCAGACAGCCCCAGGCCACTGTGGTCTAAGCATCTTAATTGAGGGATGGAGATGCTAAGGCCCAGAGGGGGCATGGACCTGTCCAGGGTCCCCCAGGGAACTAGGGACAGAGCCTCTCTCTCGCCACCTGGGTTCTGCCTTCTATAGCCTTTGCTGCTGCCAGGCTGGGCACACCTGGCCACTTGGCACAGGATCTCTGGGCTGCCAGGAGCAGATAAGTAGGAGCCAGGAGGAGGAGAGAGAACTGGCCAGGCCCCCCCTTGCCTGAGGTCAGGCACCAGCAGGAGAGAGAGTCTGGAGGTGAGGCGTGCCGGGGGGCGGGGTGGAAGTGGCCCGTCCAGGACATTAGGCTCTGATTTTCCCCTGCCCTAGTGTCTGCACAGGTTCATGAAGCAAAATATTTTAAGCCATCATTTAATGACTATTACTATGTGCCTGGTGCTTTATATACATCATCTATTGTAACATTAGGTATTGAGCACCTACTGTGTGATGAGCTCTGTCCTGGCACTTGGTGTACATCAGAAAACATTTCCTTCTTGGGGCCTGACCCACAAAGCAGGTCTGACTCCCTTTTCATGGATGAGCAAACTGTAACTGAGTGGCTTGCCCGTCACTTGGCTGATGAGTGACGGGGCCTGATTTGAACCCAGTCCTGACTGCAGAGCCCGCGCTCCTCATGCCTGGGGATGTGAAGGGCCTCACCACGGCTGCTGCATGGTAGGTGCCCGCAAGTGGCAAGTCCCTGTCCTTTTTCCCAGCAAGGAGCCTGAGAGTTAACTCTGGGGGTGGGGGTGGGGCAGATGGAGGAGTCAGATTTTGGGGGGTTGCAAGTGGTGTTTGAGGCCTTGGAAATTCACCCTTGAGGAGACAGGATTGGCAGAGTGGGAGATGCCAGCCACTCCTGCAGGGATGGTTGGGCCAGGAGAGGATGGGTCAGGAATGCTGCCAGGGCCTCACTACAAAACCCTCCACTTTACCCAGCTGCCGTCCCATAAAGCCTTCCAGGCTACCACAGAAATCTACACCCCCCACCCCTCTTACTTCCTGAGAGCCAGTCAGTGCCACTCTGCAGCATCTCTCAGCTCCACTGTGCTCCTCAGGGCTCCCCCAGTCTGCCTTGTGGGGTGTCATGGGACAGCAGCTCTGTCAGGGGTGGAGTTGCTCAGATCGACTTGGGGTACAAATGTAATGGGCCTGCAGGTTCCAGAGGGAGGACAGTCACCCAGTGCCCCCCGTGACCCTGGAGGAAGGAGGTGGTTGGGAGATTATGGGAGACAGTGGGGTGCCAGCTGGAGGAGATGTCAGATTCTCCATCCTGCCCTGCCTGTGTGGACAGTGTGACTGGACGCATCTGCCCTTGGGGAACCCCGGGGCCGCGGGGGGGAGACCTGGCCAAGCCCAGGCTGGGTCTCAGCCTCTTGCTCTGCTCCCGAGTCCACCCTCCTCCTCAGCAGCGCTTTCTTCTGTCTGCCTTTTCATGTACTTCCTCGTAGCTCTTTGCTCAGCCTTTACCTTCCGTGCTGGGCTGAGAGCTCCACGAGGGCAGACGTCCGGTCTTGTTGGCTGTGTGTTCCCGGGGCCTGGCCCAGAGGAGCGGGGTCCTCCCGAACCCCCGACTCCCAAGTCAGCGTGTGGAGGGGGGCGGGGAAGGGTGCTGTGAGTGCCAGCTGGAGACATTAACTTCACTTGTTTAGAGGAGGACTGGGTGCTCACAGAGGTGTGTGTTCTTTTCTTTATTTTCCCTCACTTATTGATTAGTTAATTCAACAAAATATTTATTTGGGGGTTATAAGGTGCTGGGCACTGTCTAGGGCCCCGGGGATCCAGAGGCGGGGACTCTGCTCTCTTGTGCTTTGCAGCTGGTGTGGAGCCTGGAGCTAAACTAGAAAAAGCACAAATGGATCATCACAAATTGTGAACAGAACAGGATTCTGAGGCTGGGGGCAAAGAGAGGGCAAAAGGGGATATAACATAGTTGGTGGTTTTGGGGGAGTGACTAGGGAAGGCTCTTGTGAAGCCATGATATTTCAGCTGAGACCGGAAGACTGCCATTCCTTCAGCCATCCCCCCACCTTCAGGGCCCCCCAGCCATAAGGCCCTGGACCCTCCCCTCTCTCCCGGGATGTGTGAGTCATGCTCTGCGACCCCAAGCCAATCTCCTGTCCTCTCTGGGCCTCCGTCTTTCACTCTCCTCTCTCCTTCCCTTCCCCAGTCTGCAGGATTTCCTTGTGGGAGGCCATTCATTGGGATCCCTGCTCCCTGCTGACTGGGTGATGTGGGGCAGGTGAATGGAGGACTCCTGGATGAGCCAGGATGGGGCTTCAGGAGGGAGCACAGAGCTGGTTCTGATTCTCTGGGACAGCTCCTGGGACGGGTGTTGGAGGCCGAGGGCCTGGACTTTGGCACTGACCCCTAGGGAGTCCTGGGCAAGCCATGGCTCTGGGACTTGGCTTTCCCGCCTGTAGAGTGGGGTCACACCTGCTTTACCTCCTTGCTATGGGTGCTTTGTGGTAAAAGCAAATCTCTTGACCCAAGCTGTGCTTTAGGGGCTCCTGAAGGAGTGACCTGGCTTCTTGAATGGGCTCCACACCAGGGCATTCCAGATGGGTGAGGGGAGGCCCCCAGTTTGCCTTGGAGTCCAGCTGGCGTCTTCTCTACTTTGCCCCTTCCGTGTCCCAGCAGCCGTTCTCTTCCTGGCAAAAGTGTATGCAGAGGGGGCCCTGCAATGGGACTGAGGGTGGGGAGCTGTCTGCAGGGCTGAGATCAGTTACGTTTGAGTGTCTGAGTGGAGGTCTCTCTGTGAAAGTGCATGCATCTGCGTATGCATGTGTGTGAATATCTGTGTATGGACTTGTGTGTGTCATTGTAAAGTGTGTTTGAGTATGAGTGTATGGGTGTGGCTGCCTATGTGTCTGTGAGTGCATGCATGTGTCAGAGCATGTTTCTATGTGTGAATGTGTGTATTTCTCTCTGTGTGTGTGAGTGTGTATGACTGTGAAAGCTCTGCTTCCCTCAGGGCCTGTCCCCACTTCCTCCTCATTCCAGCAGCAGGTTTGGGGAAGATTCCAGAAGGGCCTTGGGTCCTGGCCCTCAGTGACTGAGCCTGGCCAGCCCTTGGGACAAAGCAGGTCCTTCTGACCTGTCCAGTCCCCGGCAAGCCCCTGCCCAGCACAGAAAGCACCAGGCCCCTCCCTGCTGGCTGGGCCCTGTCCCACCCCACCTGTGGAAGGACACGGGCCCAACTGTGCTGTTCTCTCTGCACGCTGCCAGGAGGGACCACTATGCCTACTCCTACTACCCGTAAGTAGCTCCACTGGCCTTTGTGTCTGGCCCCTGGGGGAGCCCACACCCCACCCCCGCCCCCTGGCTGGGCTGGGCTCCGCACTCCGCCTGGCCTAGGGCCAGCCCCTCCTCCAGGGCCACCTCTGTCTCTGAGCTTCCCACCTGGGCTGTGTCTGACCTCACTACGTTGTCCTCACCTGAGGTCAGGAGCGCTGGCTTTGTGGTCAGTCTGGGTTCAGACCCAGCTCTGCTGAGTCACCCCTGGTAAGTCACTTACCCTCTCCTCGCCTCTGTGTCCCCTTGTCCCTGAGGATTCCCGAGGTATTCCTGAGCCTCTCCTGCTGGCCAGGACTTCCTGCTTTCAGACCACAGTCCACGCCCAGGAGGGCCCTCCCACTCTCCCACTCTGGAGTCCAGGATGTGCATGTGTGCATGTGGGGGGCACACCTGTTCCCACCTGGCAGCTCTCCCTGCAGTGCACGTGGCTCTCAGGTCACGACCTGCAGCCAGGCAGCCCCAGGCTCTTCAGACTCACCGTCCCCTGGGTGCTTCCTCTGGGCTCAGACCTTCACACAGAGTCCTCCCCTCTGCCCTGAGCAGCAGGGTCTGTGATGGCTCCCTTTCTGCTGGTGGGGAAACTGAGGCTCAGAGAGGTTAAGGGACTTGGAATCACAGGAAGCGCCAGAGCTGGGGTCACCACCCAGGCCCAGCTGACCCCACGGCCTCCGGGTGCTGCTCTGTCTTCTGCCTCTGTCTTCACTGTCACCCAGTGCCACACGGGCTTTTCCAGCAACCAAACCCCCGTCAGCTCCCACGGAGCCTCTAGCTCTGCTTTTACAGGAATCGCCTGCAAGGCGCTTCTCCCACCCCCCCCACCCCTCCCCGCCTGTGCAGGGAACTTCTGAGCCTGAACACGGAGCTTCCGGGGGTCCGTGGCTCATGCCGCCTGCGTCACCTCCCCCCGAGGTCCGGGAGGCCGGCGGTGTTGGGGGTTCCTCCGGGTCTGGGGCCTGTGGGTCTGGTCGGCCCGGTGTCTGGTTCTCCTTCCAGGTGGGCCAGAGGCCTGGGCGGGGACAGAGCCCCGGGGCTCACCGCTGGGACTGCCTCTAGGCCAGCGTCCCCTCGTGGCGGCCCTGCTGGGCACCACTGTGCAGCCAGCCTGCCCGGCTGTCCTCTGTCCCTGGCCCTCTGTCCGTCCTCCCTGTGGTGTGCTGTGTCTGACCCCGTCCCCTCTCTGTCCCCTTCCCCACGTTTGTCCCTGTCATTGTCCTTTGCCCTCTCTCCTCCCCCCCCTCCTCCTCCACTTTCCCTCTAATGTTGGTGGTCAAGGTCACAGCCAGGGAGGCCTGTCACCTGCCCCCAAAGGGCTCCTTGGCTCTGCCCTGGGCCGCGGTGAGGTCCTGCCCAGAGCCTGCGGGTGGGGCTGGGGGAGGAGGCCTGGACCCGCTGGGCCGTCTTGCCCACACTGGGAAGGCCGTGCCCACCTCTGTGCACAGCAGCGTTGGCCCCCAGGGTGGCCACAGAACCATCTTCTTAGCTCAGGAAGGACATGTGGTCCTGGCAGGAGGGGCGTCCAGAGGTCACCCTGTCCTTCCTGCGCCAGGCAGCTCCTGGGCCAGGACAGGCTGATGGGGGCTTGCCATCTGGGAAGATCCTTCACTGGCCTCTTCATCTCCATGGATGATCAGTGTCCCTGAGCCCTCACGACCTGGAAGTCCTTGCTCAGGTCTGCCCCACCTCCTACATGCCGTGAGGTCAAGCAGGTGAACGGCTTTCTCGCCTGGAGGCTTCCCTAGGCTCTTCAGTCTCGACGTGGGTCCCCTTTGCCTGTTGCTCAGCCCCTCAGTCCTGGAGCTGTGGCCTCTGCCTCCCCACCCCTTGTTCTCCCTCCTTGTCTAGGACCTCTCCAAAGTTCTGCCCTCTCGGGAGGGACCAGGGCCTCGTGCCTTCTCCCTCTGCTGCTTCCAGGGGCTCGGTGGACCAGCGGGCAGTGGTGGGAATATGGACCCTGTGTTGGTCTCTCTGTAAGGCTAATGTGGCCCATGGTGGGACCATCTTGGGCATCCAGGGGGAAGGAAGAAGCCATGGTGGGAGCTCATTCTGTGCCCAGGGGAAGATTCCTGAGCCCTGGGGAACACTAGCCAGACCCTCTGCCATGAAGGGGAAGTGTTGTCCATCCTCATTGCAGAAGGAAAAGGAGTCCCCAGGGCAGGGGTTTGGTGAGGACAGGGGGTAAAGAGGATGGAGATGGGGGCACACTGGGCTGGGCTGGAGCTGGCACAGCCGTCTTCCTAATCTAGAGTGGGGCCACTGCTGTGATATGAAAATAGACCCAGGGTGACTTTCCTTCCCACTGTCTGAGTTGTTGGGGCCAGTGAAGGTAGGAGCCAAGTCTGAGACCTCTGCTGCTCTGTCCCTTGCTCTCAGGAAAGGTCCCCACAGCAGGGACCCTGCCTAGGCCCTTTTTGGGGGACACAGCAGCCCTCTGGGTCAGACAAGCAAAGGATGGAGGAAGAGCCCCCTCAGCATCCAGAGATGCTTCTAGATTGGCTCCTGGCCTCAAGGCTCCCTGACCACTGGCCTCCCATCCACCTCAGGGCGCTGTCCCGCCCAGCTCAGCACCCACATCTCCTGCCAACGCCCCTCTGCAGGAAGCCAGTGGGCATGACCAAGGCCACCGTGAACTCCCGCCAGGAGAAGACGCACATGATGAGCGCCGCAGACCGGAGCTTCACGGACCGGAGCACCCTGCAGGAGGACGAACGGCTGGGCCTCTCCTTCGTGCAGGCCCACGGCTACAGCCTCCGTGGTGAGTGCGGCCCTCCCCCGCCCCTCGTGGCTCTGGGGCTCTGCACCGGAGCCCCCCTGGGGCCTGGCCCCCATCAGGTGAGTTCTGTAACACCCAGACCCAAACTGCAGCATCTGTTGTGCCCTGGCTGGTACCAGCACGGGCCCTGGAGATGCAGATAAGACAGAGGGGAACCTTTGTACTGGAGGAGCTTTAGGAAGACGGAGAACTTAAGCTTGTGTAGGAGGAGCTTGAGGTCACATGCATTAATTGTGGGAAGCGCCCCACAGACTCAGAGACAGGAGTGATGCTGTGTGATCAGAGGCCATCAGAGCAGTCTCCTGGCTTATTGAGTGCCTGTTGTGTGAGAGGCATGAAAGCAGTGGCTAAGAGGGATTGATTGCTCTGGAGTCAGACAGACCTGGTTTACATCTCAGGTCTCCTTAGCTGTGTGACCTGGGTCAGGTCACTTAACCTCTCTGGATGTCTGCTTCCTCACATATAAAATGGGGGGAAAGATCATCTGTGCTGGTAGGGTTGCTGGAAGACTAAGTGAGGAAATGTGTACACATCATTCAATGCTGTGCCAGGAAGAGTAGAGGAAATAAGCTGTGTGTGCTTGGAGCATGTCATGAATTGCTTCATCGCGTATCTTTCTATTTGAGTTAGTGATGATTTGTACAAAAGAAAATATGTAATGTTTATGAGAGTCATAAAGTGATAATAATACCACAAGTGTTGGTGAGCCACTGGTTAATTAGAACATCATCTGGGTGTTCCTTCCTAAGAACATGCCCTACCTCCCTCTTAGATGGAAATATACCCCTGAAATTTGTGTTTATAATTTTCTTGCCTATTTTGGAGTAGTTTTACCATGTGTGCATTTTCCCCAAACAGTGCACTATATAATTTTGCTCCTTTTGAGCCTTATGAAAATGAAATCCCACTCTATTTTTCAACTCAACATCATATTTCTAATATGTATCCAGGTGGGTGTTTCGTTGTAGTTCATATGTTTTCTCTGATGTATAGTTTTCCATTGTGTGAGTAGATTGTAATTTATTTCTCCATTCTCTTATCCATGGATCTTTGATTTGCTTCTAGTTTTCTTGTTATTACAAATGAGGCTGCTGTGAATATTCTTAAGTGAATCTCCAGATGTACCTGTACAGGAGATTCTAGAAGTAGAATTGCTGGCTTCTGAGGTATGTTCTTGTCCCACTTTATAAGACAGTGCCAAATTGTTTTCCAAAGTGGCTTTGCCTGTGTTCACACCTAGCAGAAGTACATGAGAGTTTCTGTTGCTCTACATCAAGCTCTAAAATTTCCAGGCTTTTTCACTTTTGCAGAACTAGTTTGTATGAAATGGTAATTCTCTATAGTCTTAATTTGCATTTCTCTGATTACTAATGAGGTTGAACATATCGTCAAATCATCATTGGCCATTCAGGTTTCTTCTCCCACGAAATGCCTGCTCATGTCTTTTACCTAATTTTCTATTAGATTTTCTGTTGCTTTCTTAGTGGTTTTTAGGCGTTCTTTATATGTTTAGGATGATAATCACTTGTCACTTATGAATTGCAAATATCATCTCTCAGTTTGTGGCGCATCTTTGTAGGTTATTTATAGTGTCTTTGGATAAACAGGTTTTTAAAAAAAATTTAGTCAAGTTCATCAATCTTTTCCTTTTCTGATTTCTACTTTTCTTATGGATTCTTAAAGAAGTCTTCCTTTTGCAAGGTCACCCGATATTTTTTACTTTTTTCTAAAAGTTTTGATGTTTTGCATTTCACATGTAAGTCTCTATCCAACTGTAATTGACTTTGGTGTGTGATATGAATTAAGATTTTATTTTATTTTCCCTATGGGGAAAACCCTCAGTTATTATGGTTTGTACTTTCATCACAGATCTGTGGCACCACCCTTATCATCTATTACATTTCCATATGTCTGTGGATTGTTGTTTGGCTTCCTTTCCTCTTTCATCAGCCAAATTGGTGTTTCCTATGTCAGCACCTCATTGCTTAATTACTATAGTTACATAGGTCTTGATATCTGAAACATCAAACCCTCCCAACTTTGTTCTTCATCAAGACTATCTTGGCTGTATTTGTCCTCATTCTCTTTCTTATACATTTTAGAATCATCTTTCTGAGTTCCTTGAAGAGCTTTGGTGGATGGCTTTGTACTGAGTCTTTAGATAAGCATGGGAAGCACTTGACTTCTTCTGAAATTGTCTTTCTGTCTATGAATATGATAGATACCATTCTATTTATTTAAGCTTAAACATCTTTCAATAATTTCCCCCATATAATCTTGTCCATCTTTTGTTAGATATACCTCCAGGTCTCTTGTAGTTTTGGTTTCCACTGGAAATGGTACATTGTGTGTGTGTGTGTGTGTGTGTGTGTGTGTGTGTGTGTGTGTGTGTGTGTGGTAAAATACACATAACTCAGAATTTACCATCTTAACCATTTTTCAGTGTACAATGCAGTGGTATTAAATGTATTCATAATATTGTGCAGCCATCGCCACCACCCAACCCTGTAGCTCTTTTCATCTTGTGGAACTGAAACGCTGTACCCATTACACAATGATTCACCATTCCACCTTCTCCCAGCCCCTGGCAACTGTCATTCTATTTTCTGTTACTATGAATTTGACTACTCTAATTGTCTCATATCAATGGAATACATACAGTATTTGTCCTTCTGGAGTGGCTTACTTCTTTTAGCATAAAGCCTTCAAGGTTCCTCCATCTTGTAGCATCTTTCAGAATTTCCTTCCCTCTTACGTCATTCGAAATTGAAGGAGAGACAGAGAGTTTTTTAGACAAACAAAAGCTACAGGAGTTACAATGATTAAACTGGGCTTACAAGAAATGTTAAAGGGACTTCTTTAAGCTAAAAAGAAATGGCATTAATTAATAACAAGAAAATACATGAAAGTAAAACTCTCCCTGAGAAGGTAAATATATAGTAAAGGTAGTGGATTAATCACTTATAAAACTACTAGAAGGTTAAAAGACAAAGTAGTAAAATTAACTAAAACCACAATAATTACGGATACCTAAAACAAAAAGATGTAAAATGTGACCTCAAAAAACATAAAACATTGCAGGCAAAAATGTAGAGTTTTGGAGTGTATTCAAGTTTAAGTTGCTATCAACTTAAAATAGACTGTTACATGCAGAAGAGGATACATGTGAACCTCATGGTAGCCACAAAGGGAAAACTTGTAAATACACAAAAGAAAATAAGAAGGAATCTAAATGTAGCACTAAAGAAAGTCCTCAAACCACAAGGGAAGAAAGAAAGAGAAAAAAGGAACAGAGAGGAACTATAGAAACAACAGGAAGCAGTTAACAAAATGGCAATAAATACATACCTATCAATTACTACTTTAAATGCAAATGGCTAAATAGTCCTATCAAAAGACACAGTGGCTAAGTAGAGAAAGCAAAAAAAAAACCAAACAGCACAAGACACATCTGTAAGACACTCACTTCAGAAGTAAGGACACACACAGACTGAAAGTAAAGGGATGGAACAAGATATTCCATGCAAATGGAAACCACAACTATACTCATATCAGGCAAATAAACTTTAAAACTGTAATGAAAGGCAAAGAAGAGTATTATATAATGATAAAGAGGTCAATCCAACAGGAAGATAAATCATTTATAAATATATATGTATCCAACATAGGAGCACCCAAATACATAAAACGTGTTAACTTCATATTGTAATGGATGGTAACTAAACCTACTGTGATCATTTTGCATGTATACAAATGTTGAACCACTATGTTGCAAACCTGAAACTAATATATTATACATCTATTATACCACAGTAAAAAAATAAAATAACATAGACACTAAAAAAAGAACTTCCTTACTTTTTAAGGCTGAGTAATATTCCATGGTATGTATATGCCACATTTTTCTTATCCATATTCATCAATGGACACTTGGGATGCTTCTGTATTTTAGCTATTGCAGATAATGTTGCTGAGAGTGTGGCTATACAAATATCTTTTTGAGACCCTGCTTTCAATTCTTTTGGTTATGTAGCCAGAAATATAATTGTGGGATCATATGGAAATTCTATTTTTAATTTTTTGATCAGTTGTCATACTGTTTCCACAGTGGCGATATTGTTTTCCATTCCCCCCAAAAGTGCCCAAGGGTTCCAGTTTCTCCACATGCTTGCCAACACTTGTTATTTTCTATTTTTTTGCTAGCAGTCATCCTAATGGGTATGAGGTGGTATCTCATTGTGAGTTGCATTTCCGTAGTAATGAATGATGTGATGTTGAGCATGTGCTATTCGTATATCATCTTTGAAGAACTGTCTCTTCCAGCCTTTTGTCCATTTTTGAATTGGGTTGCTTGGTTTTTGTTGTTGAGTTTTAGGAGCTCTCTATTCCTTTTCAGATATATGATTTGCAGATATTTTCTCCTATTCTGTGAGTTGCCTCTTTACTTGTGGATTGTGTCTTCTGATGCACAAAAATTTTTAATCTTCACAAAGCCCTATTTATCTATTTTTTTTCTTTTGCTGCCTGTGCTTTTGGTGTCATTGCCAAGAAATCATTGCCAAATCCAGTGTCATAAAGCTTTTGCCCTATGTTTTCTTCTAAGAGTTTTATAGTCTTGGGTCTTTGATCCACTTTGAGTTAATTTTTGTATATGTTGTTAGATAAGGGTCCAACTTCATTCTTTTGCATGTGGATATCCAGTTTTCCCAGTACAAATAGTACACTTTAAAAAAATATTTCATTTCTAATTGTTGCTCATATAGAGGAATGTAGTTGATTTTTGTGTGTATATGTATTGATCTTATATCCATACTCCTTGATAGACTTTCTTATTAATTCTAATTTGTCTGTGGAGTCTTTCAGATTGTCTTGAGTATAATCAAAGGATCTATGAATACTGCAGGTCTGTTTCTTCTTTCTCATTTTTTATCCTTTTCCCCCTCGTCTTTCTGCATGGCACTGCTAGGACTATGTTGAATGGA